AGATACTAGGAAAAGTGAACTTTGACACTTGATATATAATAATGTATTTTACGTGTGGCATTCAGTTTATTGAATGCTTAGTTCTCTGCTGAAACTCATTTTATTGGTTAACAATGAAAGACACAACAGAGATAAATGTGAGAAAATTGCTTTGCTAGCCCTCGGATTTTTTCTGCAAAAAAAGGCTTTTGGAGTGCAGTTTTGGAAACAGTCATATTTGGTGTACTAGATGCGTAATCGGTCAATCAGCCATATTTTGTATAGCTCTGGCATAGTTGATAATGAAATGACATGACTTTTACATTCATTCAATGCTCAATCTAGCACTACTATATTCCTTTATGCTAAAATAATGCTTTGCCAATCACTCATTAACTGTGATAGTAGAATTATTTTGATGTGAATTATTATTTTGATGCTACTGTGAAATACCACAATAGCACTGTTATATGCTGGCATATCAGTAACCAAACAATAGAGCAATGTTTGATCAATCCGAATTGTTAATCAGGTCTGTATTTGGTTGAATCTTAGGGATATTGGTAAAAATTTGGTACGTTCTATTGGAAACAGGACATTCTTGGCTTTCCCAGAACTAAAAGCTTTGTAAGTTCCTGTTTATTAGCTTGTTTCAATAAACATTCATTGTTCCATCTAGCTGGTATAATTTACAGCTTATTTGATATATCAAGCTATCTTTGATTGACTGAGAAGTATTCAATTAAATTCAATTCAGTTTAATTGAAACAATGCATTGCGATCTTGGAATACACTAATTCAGTATTCAACGTTTATGAAATTACTATTTACATTATTGCATTCCTTTGCTTTTGTACTTAATGGATACTTTTTAATCTTCAGAAGTCTTCGTGACAATTTGATCACATTCCTTCACGATGATGCTTTCCAAAACAATACRSAACTATCCTCTCTGTAAGTCATTTAAACAAAACTCCATAATCCACATGCAAACAAATAGATAAGATAAATATCTCTAAAACTGTTGCAGTAAATAACCACTTCATGTTCAATATTAGAATTATAGGTTACGATTCCTACAAAATTTAGTATAAGTGTCATGCATCCTATAACATCGATGACAAGTTCTATGTTTATTATAAATTTAAGGATGTTTACAATTTTTTTTGTCGTTAAAAGCGAACTAATAACAGATTTATCTCTTTCTCGTGCGCATAGAACTTCCATTAAACCAAATATGTATGCAGGAAAGAATTTCATCACGACAATTAAAGTAGTCATTGAAATGTCCATTCTCTGCGACCCGAGAATGAAAGTCATTTGCTTCCTTAGCAGCCACTCGCTTTGAATGAAGAAAAAGAAGAACTTATCATGTTTGTCTATCATAAAAAAATTATTTTGTTCATCATTTGATAGTTATCTACATGGTAATAAAATCAAAAACATCCCTGATGGTATTTTCCGTAACCAGAGGCAGCTGCGAGTTCTGTAAGTTTATGTTGATTCAAATTTGTATTTATTTTTGTTGTTGTTTTGTTTTTGGAGTGTCTAAATGTCTGGCAGCCTGACGGACTGATAACAAAAACTTAACGTCAGTCAATCAATTTTTCTCTCAATAAAAATAATAATATTTCAGCTTAAATGCGTTTTTTATTTTTGTAATGTCTTTGTGTTCCTTGAAGATGACCGCTTAGTTCGAGAGCTTGGAATAAAATGTTAAATTATTCAGGCTTGAATCAACAAACTACTTGTAAATATGAAAAATACAACCAACAAAGATCTTTTAGAAATATTAATACTGTTAATTAACTGAGGCCACTGGCAGTAATGATAATACTGAATTATAGGGTTAACATATCAACGGAAAAGGACAAAATACTATTACATTTGGAATGTGACAGTTACAAAATCTTGAAATCTGTAGATTTTCATACGATTGGGGCGGACTTTTTGTCGGAAAAAGACCGGAATTTTTTCCAGACAAATAAGTTGTAGTTGCATTTTTCTTCTTTTATCTTTCTGTTTTTTTATCTTATTTATTGATAGAACAGATAGAACAAACATAATTTCCAGTAATAGAACAAGAGAAATGCAAAGATTTAGGAATTTTGATTCACTCGGTCAACCTGCCTGACGTTTTGACACTCCGGTTTGTTTTTGCTTTCTTTTCATCATTCAAAACGTCGTTCATGACGTAATAATTCATGATGTATTCATTTGCATGAATAAAAATCGAAACTATGCACCGCCGCCTTTTTTCATGACTGAAAAAAGAGGGGATAATAATTGTTTTTGTGTTCATCATTTTCAAAATGGCAGCCATGACGTAATGTGCGACCATAAAAACAGTTATACGATTGTCAGTGAATGTGCATTACATACATTACTACAGTTTCAGAGAATTCTCACAATTTGTTGTTTTTGACAATTCATGCTATCTACTGTTCGTCTAAGGTATCTTCATAACAACAAGCTAGAAAAGTTCAGCAAATCATCGTTCCGAGGACTCTCCATGCTTGAGAAATTGTAAGCACTTATGATGAACTTTTGCAGTTTACAAACAATTATTAAACCATGAAATACGTGTCTTAATTCCTCCGTTTCTCCTTTTTGTTGTCTACTCTACATTGCGCCATATTTAGCACTATTTTTCAGTCTTTGCCTCAGTGTTTGCACTCTAATACTATATTTTTTAATCTGAACCAATTTTTTTTGGCAACTATAATATGCTTTCTTATTTTTCAGAACGCTCAACAACAATACTATCAAAGAGACAGAGATATCAAGGGACGCCTTTTCAGAACTGAAAAACCTTAAATACCTGTAAGTTACATGCACACTGCACTGATTTTGAAAACTTTAAGATTTAGCTATGACACTGGCAATGTCAGAATGGAGCCGTGTTTTACTTGTTCGCGAATTTTGATCAAGGTGATCCTATATATTTGTAGCGGTATCTTTCATCAAAATCCACCCTCGTTGCGTTTCTTTTTATCAACGTTAGCTATAAATAAAAATGGTAAAAGCCACATTATTCTATCACCAGGAAGCTTGACAGTTTTATTCTCTGCTGCTATGCCAAAAAGAGTATCCCAGCACTGACATGTGAATCATCGGAA